TGAGAAGACAGCACCCAGTTGGTAATGGAGAAGAGGCCCTCAGAGCCGCTGGAAACTTGCAGTCTCCTGAGTGCACCCCCTGCTCTCACTCGGCCTTTTCCTGCCTCCTGGAGAAGGCACACAGCTTTATCTAAGGCCTCCTTGATGGAGCTTCTCTGGCTTTAAGAAAAATGCCTGAGGAGAACAGGCCTGGACTCTCAAGCCCCTCTGGAGGAAGCTAGGGAGCAATCTGAAGGATCCCCTGGAAGAGGCTATGCAGCGATCTGAAAGACCCCTTGGGGTTGTTCCTGGCGAGGCGTGGAGAGTCATCTGGTGAGATCCAGTTCTTGCTTTCAGGACTGGTGAGTGAGGAAGCCCCGAGGATCAGCCCAGCCCTGTCATCTGCTGGCCCTCCCTTGTCTATGCTCACAGCACTAGAGGTTTGGGGTCTTGAAGTGCTTCTGAATGATAGCTTGTGCAGTGCCCAGGATGCCAGGTGCCTGGGAAAGTGGCTCCTGCTTGTGGGCACCTGCTTGAGAGGCTGCTTGGGCAGGACGGGTCTCTGCAGGCACATTGAAGTGCCGGAGTGTGCTGGTTGGTGTCAGGCATAAGTGGAGGGTAGGGGAGGCCTGCAGCGTGGGAATCTCTCTTTGGTCTCAATCCGTTAGTTGGCACCAAGTTTACCTGTGCTATGTTGAACTCCGACAACACCTCCTGCAGAGATGAATTTGAATCATCAGCATTTGCTGTTCCCAGATCTGAGTCGTAGGACATGGGCTCTTGTCGAAGGATTTGGGCTCTTGGAGCCATTTCCTTGAGTAGGCAGCTGTCGGAGTCTATGCTGAAGGATAGTTGGGAGGAACTGGTGTGTCCAGGCTGAGGAAGGAGGGCAGTGAGCTGTCTGTTCCATTGGATCTTATCGCCCAAGTGCTGGCCTTCCATGTCCTCTGAGCCTGAGGAAAGGGAAATGGAATCCAGAGACTCCTTCCTCTGTACCAGAGGTGGTGATAGGGTCAACCTTCAAGAGTGAGTGAGCGTCCCCTTTTTTAAAGTTGTGGACTTGTAAGGTAAAGGTGTTAGTCCCTGCAGGAAGCTAAGGAACTTGGGGTTTCCAGGCAGGGTGGGGCGCTGGTAGCATTCACACTTGCAGGTATCACTCCATCAGGCCATTGTTGAGGGCTGGCTGCAGCCAGGCCTGGCAGCTGTCCACAACCCTGTTCCAGTTCTGAGATGCTGTGTCTGTGGATGGCAGCTTTTAGGAGGGCCGGAAGACAGGCTGAGACAGAGGCTTCTGGTTGGCACTGACTCACACACTGGCTTCAGTTCAAAAGTGCTTGGCGTGCAAGCCGTGGATAACCATGCCTCCACGGTGCTGCATGTGGTGTTGGCATCTCATTGTTGGTGAACATGGTGTCCCAGGACACGTACTGCTGCTGCAATGCCTTCACAGAGCCTACTAGATGCTGCTTGATGACTGGGTGGCAGCCCCGGGTCCAGTCCATTCCCCACTACAGAGCATTTCCCCTCATGCAGCAGCTCCCCAGGAGAACCTCATGCACCTGCAAGGGGAGCATTGGGGGGTGGGGGGCTCCACTTGACCCGTGGCCTTCTGGTAAGAGGTTTTTATGTTTAAAAAATCTCACCATTTCCCTAACCCCCCCCCCCCCCCCATATTAATAACTAAAGGCCTGGTGCACAAAATTCATGCATGGGATGGGGAGGGGGGGTCCCCTCAGCCCAACCTGCACCCTCTCCAATGTGGTCGTCCTCAAGGGATGTCCTACTGATGGCTTAGGCCCACTCCCCACAGGGAACAGGTCTAAGCCACAGTCTGGCCTCCCTCTGCAGGAGGCGACCTGGTTGATTAGGGGAAGGCACCACTCCCATTACCCTGCTGCTGCTGCCGCCAGAGTGTTTTTATCAACACAGATTCCAGTCTCTTCACCACACACTCACACACACACAAATGACAACTTTCTTTAGGCATTTTCAAGATGTCTCTTTCATAGGATATGACATTTATATATATATATATATATTTTTTATTATTCTCACCTGAGGATGTTTTTCCATTGATTTTTAGAGAGTATAAAAGAGAGGGAAAGACAGAACATCAGTGTGAGAGGGACACTTAGGTTGCCTCCTGCATGAGCCCTGACCTGGGTACCGGCCAGGGAGGAACCTGCAACTTAGGTACATGTCCTTGACCAGAATCTAACCCGGACCTTGTGGTTGGCAGGCCAAGGCTCTATCCACTGAGGCAAACCATCCAGCAGCAGACCTTTTTTCCTCCAGAAATGAGGTGGAAAAACCCTAGATCACCTTCTTGGATTCTCATTACCCAAGTTACCAAGAACACTGCGAGTGGTGAATGGGGAGCTTAGCCAGTGAGCTAATGATCGATCAGAAAAGGTATTTCCTCTGCAGCTCTCACGCAGAGGCCTAACTGCCAGTGCACTGCGGCAGGCAGGCCCTGTTCTCTGCAGGCTGTGCCATCCATGGCTTGCCTCAACATACACAGTCCCCTTCCACCTACCTGCACACACATCCTCCTCCTGAGTGGTCGTGGCATTATGGTGTCCCGGACAATTTGCATGTTACCTCTATATATAGATTATTCATCCTTGTCTGCATAGAAGTGAGCATCTCTCAGGGTGGCACGAGTCAGGAAATGGAGAAGTCTTTTAAAACCTTTTATACTCTTATTTGTGTGTTTGGTGTTTTCTAGAATGGTTTCATGCTCTTTATTAAATAATTGTTTTAAATTTCAAAAAGCAGTTGGGCAGTCTATATAAACACAGTAATACTGCCTTCTGTGCGATTAGATTTTATTTATTATTAATTTTTAAGATATATTTTTATGGATTTCAAAGAGGAAGTGAGAGGGAGAGAGAGATAGAAACATCAATGATGAGGGAGAATCACCGATTGGCTGCCTCCTGCATACCCCCCACTGGGGATCGAGCCCACAACCTGGGCATGTGCCCTTGACCAGAATCGAACCCAACCCTCCAGTCCACAGGCCAACGCTCCATCCACTGAACCAAGCCAGCTAGGGCTATGTGTATTAGATTTTAAAGTTACTCTGTGGGTGTGCTCCCTTCTGAGATTGAGATATCTGCTGTCTTGCTTATCTTGTAATATTTTCCCATATATATGGGTCCTTGGGAAAGAGATTTTCTCCATTATTTTGTTTGTGAGAGAGAGCAGGTGAGAAGAGTAGAGAGTGAGGGTTTCTTTAAGTCAAAGTCACAGGAAGTTTATGTTCTTCAGTTTTGATATGAAGTAAAAACCTAAGTACAATTTAGAAGCTTAGTTTATATTCCTGCTGGTTTGTGTGTAGTTTGTTTGACATTAATTAGTAGATATATTAACATTTACTTTACATACTTTATTCTCAGCTGGTTCAGGGCACTGGTGTAAAGAAGTTTACATTTAGAGCTGAGTAATAGATTGCTTACTTGGTATTTAGCTAAAGAGTGGTAGAGCTGGATTGTCTGTCTGTGAGTCCAGCTCCCGTTCTTCTCCAGGGTGTTACCTAGTTTGTATTCCTGTGACTTGGATGCTCAGCTGGCATTTCATTTTCCTTGCTCTGTATATTGTGTTTCTGGGTTTGTCTATCCATCCCACTTTAATTGGTTTAATCTTGGGAACTCTATAGTTGATTCCTTAATTCTTCCAGGCTCAGTCTTTCCTTCTCCGTGCTCTCTCTCCTCTCTTCATGCGAATGCAGTATAACAAGAGGTGAGAGAGCATGAGCCATAGACTCGGGCAGGTCTGGGCTTCATAGCTCTCCATCGCTTACTAGTTGAGCAAACTTGGGCAAGTTGCTTAATTTTCCAGACCTTAGGTTTGTAATTGTTTAATATGGATAGTATTTGTATAGTAATAATATCTGTCTCATAAGCATATTGTGTTAACTGAGACAATATCGATATAGGAAAGATTCACACTGTGCAGAGTGAATACTCACCAACTTACAGTGGTGTTTTTCCACATAGCAGCTTGCTTTCAAGGCATGTTTTGGAAGTTGCCATCTGAGCACAGTGTGTCTTCTTTCAGCACAAGTGAAGAAAGCTCTTCTCAGGACGTTGGGAGCACCTTTTCTGAAGACGGTCCACACAAGTCTACGACAGTGACTACTCCACTGACATCTTCCCAGTCTCCTGTGTCAATGCCTGTACACCCAGCTCCCCGAGCAGACACCCAGGAGGAAATCAACTTCGTTAAGACCTGTCTCCAAAGGTGGAGGAGGGAAATTGAACAGGATATACAAGGTTGGCTCTTCTAAAACTTGTCAGACAGCTATTCTTCGCCTTCTCTGTCTGTTTGAGTGTTTTGAAGTTTGGCACCGTGGGTACACTTGCTGCTGTTGCCTTAGATGCTATTGAATTTTGCCATATGTGCTGTTAAATTTTGGCATGGGGATTGTGACCTTCCTTTCGTTCCCTGTGAGATTGGATCACACACTTCCATTATATTGCTGTGGAAAGACCCCTCCTAGATTCCCTCAACATTTCTGGGCTTCCTGGGAGCTCACTTGCTCATGTCCTCTTTGGTTGGGATTTTTCTATCTGGCCTCCTGGTCATGTGCTCAGACTTTTCTTCCCCTTACTTTCTCTTTTTATCTGGGGAGCAAAAAATAAAAATAAAAATTCAGATTCCTTCCAGGTTCTTATTCACAGAAATTTAGCTCTCTCTTGTTCTGCCATCTTCTTTCAGGTCTTAGCACTCGCTAAGGTCTTTCTCTAAGTAGGCTGTTTCTTCTTTAAGAAATATTGGTTCCAATTATAAGAGATTTTTAAAATTTTACTGTAATTATATTAAACTCACAATTTCATAAATTGATGCACTAGTTGCCTTAAGACTGTCTTCCTTCGTGGCTTATCAAGTGGACTTGAAGTCATCGGAACCCTGGCACAGACAAGCAGTGCCATTACTGAGTTGAAGCAGCCTCTGTGATGTGGAGTGAAATCATCTTAACTAAGTCTTCTCTTTTAACAGATTTAAAGAACTGTATTGCAAGCACTACCCAGACTATCGAGCAGATGTACTGTGATCCTCTCCTTCGCCAGGTAGAATGAATTGATGGAAAAGTAATCAAGCATGTTCTAGTGGTGCTAATTGACAGAAAGGAAACTGGATGGCTTTCTTTGAAACTCAATGAGAACCTTCTGAGATAAAGGAATAAACTTAGGAAAGAAATTGGTAGTGTTCTGTTATTTTTATTTTAGGCTAAAAAAAAGTAATGTATCTTCTGCCACTAGTAGAACTCAAAATATATTTGTTTTGATTCTGCTATGTGTTGCTTTTTGATACATTAGAAAGGTTTGCTGTCAGATATTAATAAAAGTTGTTACACCGCCCTAGGCAGCTTGGCTTAGTGGTTAGAGAGTTGGCCTGTGGACTGAAAGGTCCCAGGTTCGATTCCACTCAAGGGCATATGCCTGGGTTGCAGGCTCAATCCCCAGTAGGGGGTGTGCAGGAGGCAGCCAATCAATGATTCTTTCTCATTATTGATGTCTCCCTCTCTCTTTTTCTCCCTTCCCTCCCTCCCTTCCGCCCTTCCTTTCCCCCCTTCTCTCTGTCTCTCTCTCCCCCCAAACCTTTCTCTCTCTTCCTCTCTGAAATCAATAAAAAAAAAAAAAAGTTGTCATGCCATAGTAATTTAAGTAGTACAGTGGGGAAACCTGAACTAGGGACCGTTATTTGTCCTTTTCACAGTACTGGAGTCCTTTGTTTACCTGCAATGACCCTAAAAAGGAGGTAGGCGGGCAGTTATCATTGTCCACATAATTTTTGTTGAGAATGACATTCTGGGCATGGAGGGGAGAGAGGGGAGTCAGGGGCATGTCCTCTTAGCGGCTTCTGGGCCAGTGGCCGGAGGAGAGGAGCTGTATCCAGGGTTGCATAGAGGCGTGGTTCTGTTGCATGGCGGGAATGAGTCATGTAAATCTTGTTTTTTCCCCATTTTCTCTTTTGTATTATTTCAAAAATTTCTCCACCAGTAAAAGACATGTCAAGGTACTGATTAAATGTAAATTTAACTTGAGTCTGTGGCCCACTTCACTTTTCCCATCAGGAGTTACTTGGCACTTAAGCATTGCTTTATGTTCTACATATTGTGAAAAGAAATGCCTTTCAGGTGTGGAAACTAACAAGTGTGTAGTTGAAAGGGTCTTCACCCCAGATAGGTGAACAGTTTCAAGAGGAAATATAGGAACCATATGTCTGATTCATAATGAAATATGCTAGCCTAAATGTGGGTGCCAAAGACAATAGACAGAGAACAAGATGGCAGCTAAACTAGCTGTAGGTCCCAAAGCTTTTTCTCAGCACAATGGTCAGGGTGATTCTATTTTTAGAAAAACTGTGTTTGGAATTGGGGAATAAATAGGTCTGGGTTATCTTTGGCTTTAGATCTATAATCATAAGAGTTTAGAGTTAAACGAGGTCTCAGAGGAGGTTATCTAGCTCAGTTTTAAAGATTTGGGAACTGAAACATAATTGATAGATCCCAAGACTATGTTTTTGTTAGTTCATCTTGAATCACCAAGATGTCTCCATGTGAACAAACATATGTATACCTTTCTAACAACTGATATTTGGGAATAATCTTGGATTTTAGTAACCTAAGCTTTGTCCAATTACTGCATCTCACTCAGAAATGTGCTTTCTGGTTTGTAGGTGCCTTATCGCCTGCATGCAGTGCTCGTTCATGAAGGACAGGCAAACGCTGGACACTACTGGGCCTATATCTACAACCAGCCCCGGCAGGTCTGGCTCAAGTACAATGACATCTCTGTGACCGAATCTTCCTGGGAAGAACTTGAAAGAGATTCCTACGGAGGCCTGAGAAATGTCAGTGCTTACTGTCTGATGTACATTAACGATAAGCTACCTAACTTCAATGCAGGTAAAAATATCTTCACAGGAGCCAGAAATGGGGAAATCTCTACTGCTCAGGGAAGGGGGAACATTCTTCATAGTTTAAAATAATTTTAACCTAGAATTTATCATGAAGTAATAATGCATTTTTATGAATACAAATATTACAAAAGAGAATAAAGAGGAAAAATCAGTTTGCTCTCTGGCTTCTACCCTTGAGCCCAACCAGTATCCATTGTCAGGTTTCTTATGCTGTGTTCAGAAACTGCTCTGTGCAGCAACTACATTTACTATTGACATCATCTCCATCCCGTTTTCCCCCAACTGGGATATTTTCCTTTCTGTTTTGCATCCTTTTATTGTGTATCTTAGTAACCTTTATATTTTCATAAATAAAATTGACTCATTTTATTTTAATCCTCACCTAAGAGTATGTTTTATTTTATTTTATTTTTTATTTTTTTGGAGAGAGAGAGAAACATCAATTGATTGCCTCCTGTTACGTACCTGCAACCTGGATATGTGCCCTCACTGGAAATCAAACCTGCTACCTTTTTTGGCGTCCAGGATGTTGTTCCAACTGAGTCACCTGACCAGGGCTCGCTCTTTTCAACTCCACAACCATTCCTTTGCATGAATATATATAATTAAACCGTTTTATCTAGTTTTTTTCCTTTTCTAGTAACATTTTGTTTACATTTTAAGAATGTTTTTATTGATTTTAGAGAGAGGGTAAAAGAGAAATATCAATGCATCCACATTGATGCTATTGGTGATTTATTCCCTACTGCATGCTTTCAATTTTTATTTCTCTTAATAATTTATAACTAAAAGGAAGGTAGGCAGGATAAGAATTCTTTTTTTTTAATTAATTTATTTATTTCATTGATTATGGTCTCACATAATTGTTCTTATCCCACCATTCCCATCCCAAACCCCTCCCTACATATGCCCCCACCCCCTGTTGTCCATGGCAACTGGCTAGGCCCATATGCATGCAAACAAGTCCTTTGGTTGATCTCTTCCCCTTACCCCCACCCTCCCTTACTTTCCCTCTGAGGTTTGAGAGTCTGATCACTGCTTCTCTTTCCCTGAGTCTGTTTTTGTTCATCAGTTTATGTTGTTCATTATTTCCTCTAGATGTTGAGATCATGTGATCCAAGAAATACCCTTGTAAGAACCTAAACTGCAACAAGCCATAATGGTTATGCTGAGAGGCAAATGAATCAGTCTGTAGTGAATTCCTTTCTGGGCCAACAGTTCTTTTGAGCCCCAATTTCAATGTCAAATAGTTCCTTATGTTTACATGTCAGCCGTGATATTTCAGATCTGGTTGGTGGACAAATGGTGGTAATGCAGGAATTCTTATTGCCCACATTTTCCAGCCGAGGTTCTTTAGTTGTCCAGTAAATAAATGGCAGGCCCACGATTCAAATGCAGTTCTGATTCACATGCAGTTCTGACTCCATATTCTGTGCTGTTTTCCATGTACATTATTCTCTCTGCTTGTCATGTCTTCTCTGAGAGGTCTTATGGCCAGCATTTCACAGCTAAGACCATAGAAGGCTTTTTATTTCAGTTTGCGCACATGACTGTGTTGCATAGGCAAGATCACACGTCAGCTTTGTGGCCAGGCAGCAGGTTGTCTTTCTGATTTGCTAATGTGACTGGGGGAGAGGGGGAGAAATGAGCACCTCACAATTATTGATCTTCATGATTCCATATTTTCAGTGTGAAAGCAGGGACAGCTGCTTGTGGAAGTTACTGTACAAATGGCTATGCTGCGGTTGTATATAGGAGCCTTGGTATATATGGCTCAGGCAATTGGTAATAGCCTCTGTATTGCACATATGGCTCGTTTTTACATTCTAGAAGTAAACAAGTGGAAACTGTCATTTGCTTAGTGAAAAGACTAGTTAATGGCAACCAATAAGTAGATGTGTTGTTCTCTAAGAGTTTTTGGTTTTGTTTTGGTCAAAACAAAAAAGGTTTAGAAATGAAATGTAATATGTCCTAGATATCCTGCCTCCTTTTTTTTTTCTTTTTTTTTGTGGTTAATCCTCATCCAAGAATATTTTTTCCATTGTTTTTAGAGAGAGTAGAAGGGAGAGGGGGAGAGAGAAACATAGATGTGAGAGATTGGTTGCCTCCTGTATGCGTCCCGCCCGGGACCAAGCCTGCACCTGAGGAATGTGCTCTTGACGGGGTCAAACCTGCCACCCTTCAATTTGTGGGCCCATGCTCTAATCACTGAGCAAACCTTCTAGGGCTACCCTGCCATTTTTCATCATAGCTTTTAATGACCCAGGTATTATTGACCATATAACTATTAAATCAAATTGCATTCTGATAGCATTTAATTGCATGAAACTCAAGACAGCATAAATGTATTGGAATTCATCTCTAACCATCTTGCAGTAGATATTCTTATCAATAATAGATGCATTGGTTATAGTGATAAAATTATTTTGTTTGGAATTTCCATTGGATCTAATGATTTTCCTGAATTTCTAGAAATGTTTGGTCCATTCTTACTATTTTACCAGTGATTGGCCTCTATTCCAAATCCTTACATTCATTCATTCCTTCATTTAACAGATAATTCAATATGTGCCTACTTACTAATATGCCAGGCTCTGTTATTGATATGCTCTGACTGTTGGCCTTGTATTATCAATACTTCTGATGGATTATGTGTGTATGTATTTTTCATTAGGAAAGACCTTTTGATTTCTCCATCTTTGTTCTTTCTCAGAGGCAGCCCCAAATGTATCAGATCTGATGTTAGAAGAATTGGAAGCCTTATCTGTTGAACTTAAGCACTACATTCAGGAAGATAACTGGAGATTTGAACAGGAAGTAGATGAGTGGGAACAAGAGCAGTCTTGCAAAATTCCTCAAATAGAATCTTGTACCAACTCAACATCTCAGGATTTCTCTACACCACAAGGTATTTGAGAAGGACAGTGTGCCAGATAGTATCATTCACATTGCCCTCCTTCAGCCAGCCCTGTGCACGTCACCCAATGGAGTAGTGTCCCCATGTGCAACTGCAATACATTTCAGATGGAGTTGGTATTGCACAATGTGATGGGATAACTTGTGGTTCAGACGTGATTTCTGATGAATAGGAGTAATAGCAGAAAGACTAGCTACCTGTATTTTTTCTCTGTTTAGTTTTGCTTATTTCCCAGGTTGTAATAGGAATTATGGTAGGATTACTAGTTGGATTTTATGAAAACAATTCTCCAAAGATGACCTTCCACCAGGTCAAATACATGGTAATGGAAGGAAACTAGATTTTGAGTGGGGAACATGCAATAGAGTACACAGTTGTTGAATCATAATTTTGTACACCTAAAATTTTATAATGTTATTAGCCAATGTTATGCCTATAAATTTAATAAAAAAAAGAATTTGCAACAGTATTAATTGTAATGCTGTGTGCAAAGCTCAAGAATATATATATATATATATATATATATATATAAATTTTTTATTTTTTTAAAGTCCATCTTTCTAACATATGTTTGTAGGAAACCTTGGCATAATGGCATCTGACCAAGTCAGGAGGAGCACATTAAGTTTTACAGGATCATCAGTGGGTCTTGCTGAAGTAGCCATTCCTTGTGGTCACAGTTTCTAGGGGAAGCTTACACAGATTTTTTTAAAGGTTTGCTAGAAAGGTTGTACATTCAACTTTGTGTCCATCCTGCTTGCCTTTACAGAGTCTTCCAGACATTACGTATCATCAGACGCTAACTTCTGTGTCCATCTCTTTATCAGAGCCTTCAGGGGCCTCTGCCCATGGGGGTCGCTGCTTGTCGGCTGAGCATGCTGTGATTGTCAAGGAGCAGACCGCCCAGGCCATTGCGAACACCGCGCAGGCCTATGAGAAGAAAGGTGTCGAAGCAGCCTTAAGTGAGGTGAGAATGACTGAGGGAGCCCAGATCCAAGAGGGGCGCGTTTTCAGCAGTGACTTCCACAGTGCTCTCGCATTTCTGTGATTCTGTGTTTCTGCTGCATTTAACCAGTCCCTCTTTATTTCTCCATTTTTTTCTACTCATTCTCTCCATTCTGCTGCCGCAGCTTAAGGAAGCTGAACCCAAGAAACCCCTGCCCCCGGAAACAGACTTTGCAGAGCAGTCAGAGCAGCCCCCAGAGGCTCACGATGCAGACTCTGCTGCCCCGCCTCATTCTGAGGTGTCTGAAGTCGAGATTCCCAGTGTGGGGAGGATTCTGGTTAGAGCTGATGCAGACGGATATGATGAGGAGGTACAGAGCCGAGTGCAGGGTTGAGCTGCTTGTTGTCAGTCTGACCCCCTCTCATGTCACTGCATGTACTTGAAGGTGTGTGGCGATGGGTGACATTTTCTTATTGAAACAAATGACACGAGGCCTATCTGGTTTGACCGTAGTTACTGTTTTTAACAAGATAGCTTTGTTCCCACTGTGCACTGCTCCCGTATATATCTACCCAGGCGTATATTTATGGGGCCACTGCAGAGTTTAGATGGCTCAGAATGATAGAATTTGGTCCTTTGTTTGGCATTAGGACAAAAACTGCCTTATAAGTGTTTGTCTTTAGTAGTATTAGTTAATTGTTTTTCCTCCACGTGTGAAATTTCCAGAGGTATAGTGAGCCAAACAAATGTAAATTGGAGTTGTTTTTAGGAAGAAGCTGTAGAATCCCGTGTGGTTGAGGTGCTCCTTACAGTTGTCACTGCACATAAACTATCATGCATCCTGCCCCTTAGACTTGTTTTTTCCTGAGAAATATAGTTTTAAATTATTGGAAGGTTTTCATTTTATAAAGTCATATTTGTGGGGGGTTTTTTGTTTTTTTTTTATTTTATATTTTATTGATTTTTCACAGAGAGGAAGAGAGAGGGATAGAGAGTTAGAAACATCGATGAGGGAGAATCATCGATCAGCTGCCTCTTGCACACCCCCTACTGGGGATATGCCCGCAACCAAGGTACATGCCCTTGACCGGAATCGAACCCGGGACCTTTCAGTCCACAGACCGACACTCTACCACTGAGCCAAACCGGTTTCGGCTATAAAGTCATATTTGTGTATCCCCTACTTTCCAGGCTATTTTAAATGCCCTGCTCATCCTACCCTGTTTCCCTGAAAATAAGACAGTGTCTTATATTAATTTTTCTCCCAAAGTTGTGCTAGGTCTTATTTTCAGGGGATGTCTTATCTTTCCATGTGCTAGGTCTTATTTTCGGGGAAACACGGTAGTAAAAGTCTAACATATTTGTGTGTTCAGGACATACACCCAAACGACAGAACTAAATTGGAATTCTCACCTCAGATACTTCCTCACTGATAGCTCTAACTCAACTTGATTCTTGGGCAGTGCCATAACATAGTTTTAGACATACATATTTAGTCATCTGTGCATTACAGAGAATGCACAGAAATAGCTTGCATGGACTGTGCGTGTGCATAGGGTAAGTGTGAGGGCCTTGACCTTGTGTGGAAGGCAGTGCTGTCCGTGTGCATAGGAATGGGTGCAGAACTTGACCTGCAGTAGATGCCAACCAAGGAGCACACGGCATGCTTTCTTCTGCATGCTGCTCGCCTGTCCTCTCATGCTCTTCTTTTGAACCTTTCCTCTCTCCTTTTTGTCTGTTTGTGCCCTCTTGTGGTAGGTGATGCTGAGCCCTGCCATGCAAGGGGTCATCCTGGCTATAGCTAAAGCCCGTCAGACCTTTGACCGAGATGGGTCTGAAGCCGGGCTTATTAAGGTATCTCCGTTTTTTAATTTCTCCTCCTCCTACCACAGGTATCATAATAATGGGGCACTAATTCTGTCAGTTGGTAAACGATAGGATTAGAAATGTCTTTCATTGAAGCAAAGTGTAAACCTCTCTTTCCTGCCTAACGAACGAATAAGCTGCCCACCGTACCGATGCTGCTCCTCTCCTGGCGCGAGCGCGGGCCGCGGTGAGCAGTGCCATCTGTCGCCCAGCCGGGAGGGCTGGCCGTTGTTCTTAGGGAACGTCTGGTAATAAAGTCAGTGGGACATTGCCCTTGTACTTAGGGGCTGTAACGTGAGAAAGTGGGCCATGCTTTTTAAGGTGCTCGAATAACATTTAAGGCACATGACTAAATTGCATTTATGTGGATTTTTAAGATTTGGGTTCTTGGGACTCAAGGATATTCCTGTAATAATTGAAAAGTAAATATTTTTTGAGAGCTTTATGAAAAAGTGTCTCTTATGAATATAGTATGTCTTTGGTGCCAGGAAGCTAGAAGAGTTTCATCCCTTATGAAATGCAAACACTCACAGACTCCACGGTTGCCTCTGTAACTCCTCCGGAAGGATTTCGTAGGAGTCTTCTCAGAGCTAGGGAACCTCTGTCACCTGAGGCCTCAGTGTCCGTGCGGAAGGCCACAGTGCGCCCCTTCTGACTCCCAGCCGCCCTTCACAGGCATTCCACGAAGAGTACTCCAGGCTCTACCAGCTGGCCAAGGAGCCGCCCCCCTCTCACAGCGACCCTCGGCTGCAGCACGTGCTCGTCTACTTTTTCCAAAACGAAGCACCCAAGAGGGTGGTGGAGCGGACCCTTCTGGAACAGTTTGCAGATAAAAATCTTAGCTATGATGAAAGGTGAGAAGGGGCTACTCAGGTGAACCCCCTCCTTCTGGGTCCGGTGTGGCTGCCTTCCCTGCGGGGGAAGTGTGCGCTGGCTGCTGTCACTGCTTCCTGAACCTTATCCCACTCACACAGGTCCATCAGCATCATGAAGGTGGCGCAGGCTAAGCTGAAGGAGATTGGTCCAGACGACATGAATATGGAGGAGTACAAGGTCAGGTCTTTTCTTTAAATCTGCAAAGCCTCAAACATTCATTCCTGAGGCAAAACTTACAATTTTGTAATTTGTCCTCCCTCCTACCCCCCCCCCCTGCAAAACTACCACCTGAATAAGAATGGTTAGATGATCTTTCCTTACCCTCAGCATAACAGGCTTCTTTATTCCATCTTTATCAGAGCGAGTCAGCACTTCCTTTTCTTAAATACGTGCTTTAGCCTTGTTCTAGGCATATAATTCTTGAACTCACAGTTTGGGTTTGTTTTAAATAATACAGTTTCCTATATTGGAAATAATATTTTTATATTGGAAATTCAGTTTCTGTGCATTAAAGTGCATATATAACTACAAGTTTTTTAAAGCTTTGTGTTGTACGTAAAACAGCGTTCTGTACCGCTAGGGTGTGCCCACCACGCTCACTGAGCTTGAGTGGTGTCCTGTGACTGGGACGGCCTCTCCTTTCATCTGCCGCACATCTGGATGGCGTCCTCAGAACTAGAGAGTCATTCATGTAAACTGTGACGTGGGTGCTGCGAATTAAGACTGCAAATTTTAAATACCGTGGAAGGAAATGGGCATTAAGAATTAAGGTCAACAGTAGTTTTATTCTAAATGTTGAGTATGTTTCTCTGTGCAAGTCTTTGTGTTTGTTGCTTTTGTGCCTGGCCACATGTGCACAGAGTTTAAAACTTAGGTGGCAGGCAGGGTGGAAGTAGTCTGTTGTGGTCATGATCATTAACACGAGTCCTCCCTTTCAGAGGTGGCATGAAGATTACAGTTTGTTTCGGAAGGTGTCTGTGTACCTCCTGACAGGCCTGGAACTCTATCAGAAAGAAAAGTAAGTTGGCCTTTCATGCTGCTAACTGTTGGTCGGGACTCTCTGATTTATCCGTCCCCACCCAGGAGTACTGAGAGAGTCACGGCATGCCCCGCCCGGTCATGTGCACAGCGTGCCTCTGTTGTCCCTTAGTGCTGCTCTGAATGTCACACAGTTTTCATCCTTCACGTAATGATAGGTTTATTAGGAAAGAGATGTGGTGGCCAGAGTTCCTTTGTGATCAGTGAAGATGAACTCTGAAGCTGAGAGCTGGTGCAGCCCTCAGTGAACACCTAGTCCAGTCTTTGTCAGGAAGCCCCGAGCCCAGGAAGCTTTCAGGATTGGTCTTGGGTTTTAGGACTAAGATGGCTGCTGTCTTTGGCCCTCATGCTTTTCCCAGTCCTCGGTGCCGCCCCCTCCTTCCAGACTTCCACGGAAACCCTTGTCTGCGGGGGCAGGGAGGGTAAGCCCTGGGTTTTGGAGGACACTCAGCTGTTGTTATCTGCTGTTTCCTAAGGTACCAAGAAGCCCTCTCCTACCTGGTGTATGCCTACCAGAGCAACGCCACTCTGCTGACCAAGGGGCCCCGCCGCGGCGTGGAGGAGTCCGTGATCGCTTTATACCGCAGGAAATGCCTTCTGGTGAGTCTCTGTAACCCTTAGATCTGCCTTAGATCTCTGTTGCTCGTTGTCTTTACTGCTGCCCTGCAAGCCAGGTTGAAATTAATCTCCAACAGGTTTCACATTTTCCCATCTCTCAAGAGGAGCTTAACTTTGGAACAGATTATTTAACATTATTTAGTTGTTATCATTCTTCTTCAGTCCCTGGTAGACGAGGGATGAGAATGGATCACCCCTCTCTCTGTGCCTTCACGTGTACCTGCATTTCATCTCGTTGCTTTCCTAGCAGGCTGTGAGTCCGTGAGCAGATTTTCTTCTAGCTGAGTTCTCTGTGTCTGGAACGCAGTAAACTTGTAATACGTGCGTGTTGCAGGAATGCAGTGCTTCTTCTGTGTTCCTTGCTGGTAGATAAGAATCCTAGTGACTTCTAAAGAAATTCCAGTTTTTTTAAGTCAGAAGCCATGAGATCTGGCCTGCCCTCCGGTGTTGTGGCTGTCACACTCCGGGAATGCTCCTGGCCTGTTCGTACTTGGCAGCACGAGGACAGGCAGACCGATGACCTCTGTCTACCCTGGTCTAACGCCGTGCTTGTCCTTAGAAAACTGCACAGGGAGGCTTGCCGGGAGGCTGTGTGCTGTGTGTGTCTTTCCTGAGCCCCTTCTCCTCCCGGGGGGTCAGGCAGACTTCCCACCACCGCCCTGTTAGCACCACGTGGAGGAAGTTAAGTCATGACATACACCGACCTCAAGAGCTTCACTTTCTGGTTTACACAGTAGGTCCTCAGGTTACGTCGGAGATCCGTTCCTACAGCGCGAGGTAACATGATTTTCGCCATAAGTCGGAACCCACCTACATAAGCACCTCCATCACTCCATCACTGGAAAGAAGCAATGAAGTGAAACAGTAAAAAAAAAAATTTAAAAGAAAGATAGCAATTCCTTACCTTTACTGTGGTAAACAAATAATAAAAAACATAAAGCACATCTGTATGTACGTCAAAATGACGGAACTTTCTTTTTTATAAATAAATGGGAGATGGTGATATAACCACAAAACGACGTACTTCAAGTTTGACGTAGCCAGAGGACAGTTTGTATTTGCTTTCTGTACTGGTTATACGTATGGAGGGCATTTGGAAGCTGAAGAAAGACTTGTAAATTGGGTGGGTCTGAATTTTATTAGAGCTACACTTCTGTTTCTCAAGTCACCAAACACAGGTTCTGTGGCCTGTGCTGCCCAGCTCCACGGGGAGGCAGTAAGAGTGAATGGGATGGTTCCCGGGCTGGCTCTCCGCCTGCAGGGTGCGCCACAGGTACCTGGACAACTTTCACAGGAGGATGAAGCGCAGGCCCCTCTCCAGGCAGCCAGACTGGGCCTGCGCAGCCTCCTGTCTCTGCAGGTGGTTCTGACGCCAATGGAGAAAGAGGGCCATGAAATAGGCCTTTTAGTGGAAGCAGGTGTTAGGCATGATCCTGACTTAGAAGTTAGGCCAGTGGTCAGCAAACTGTGGCTCGCTAGCCACATGTGGCTCTTTAGCTCCTTGAGTGTTCTAACACCACTTCTTCAAAATAGACTTGCCCAGGCCAAAAACGGACTTCTGCGCATGGGCCATCAAGTTTCAATCGCTCTGTAGGTGCGCACCCGCACCTGGTATTTTGTGGAAGAGCCACACTCAAAGGGCCAAAGGGCTCCATGTGGCTCGTGAGCCTCGTTTGCCGACCACTGGTTTAGGCCATTGGGTCAGAGGCTTTAGCTGCCTGAGAATCCCCTTGGGAGCTTTTATCAAATCCTGGTGCCCAGCATACCGATGATAGCAGCTGATGGGTGGTTTTTAGAGATTCCCCCGCAATTCCAGTGACGGTAAAGTTTGGCAGCCACTTGTTAGGATCTTCTGACGTTCTTATTTATCTTTTCAGACTTTTTCTCACTCTTTTTATCTGTAGGAGCTGAATGCCAAAGCAGCTTCTCTCTTTGAAACCAATGATGACAACTCACTAACAGAGGGCATTAAAATGATGAATGAGTTGATCATTCCCTGCATTCACCTCATCATCAATAATGACATCTCTAAGGATGACCTGGATGCCATTGAGGTCATGAGAAAACACTGGTGCTCTTACCTGGGCCAAGATATTGCAGGTGTGTTGCTTTTAGCACTCCCAGTAATCTCTAAGGCTCTTGGGAATGACAGCAATTACAGTGGGCTCACTAGAGCACGGGTTGCCGAACCTTGCCAAAGGATTATGGGAACCCGTAGGGTTAGGGAGTTAGAAGTGGACCTGCTCTACGGAGGTGGGGAAGCCGGGCCTCTGGTCCTCTAACTTCCCTGCCTCCTCTGTGGTGTTGAGGTGTCTCCAGACGACCAGGAACCCTGCGTGAAACATCACAGGTCTCCAGGAGTGTCCAACCTCTATTACTTTTCAGTTGCCAAAATCTGGACTCCAATTGCATAGTTTAAAAATCAAAATCCATTTACACAGCCTCTGCCACTTTTTTTTTTTTTTTTTTTTTTAAATATATTTTATTGATTTTTTACAGAGAGGAAGGGAGAGAGATAGAGAGCTAGAAACGTCGATGAGAGAGAGAGTCATCGACCAGCTGCCTCTTGCACACCCCCTACTGGGGATGTGCCCGCAACCAAGGTACATGCCCTTGACCGGAATCGAACCTGGGACCTTTCAGTCCCCAAGCCGATGCTCTATCCATTGAGCCAAACCGGTCTCGGCAGCCTCTGCCACTTTTTAATGATCCTTCAGTAATTAGAGCGTCAGCCTGTGGACAGACAGGTTGAGGGTTCAATTCCTGGTCAAGGGCACCTACCTCTGATATAGGTTCGATCCCTGGCCCCAGTCTGGGCAGGAGGCAACCAATTGATGTCTCTCACTCACATCAATGTTTCTTTCTCTCCCACCATCTTTAAAATCAATGGGGAAAATATCCTTGGGTGAAAATTCAACAAAAAGAAATCCATTTATGCAGCATGGTTATCAAGACCTATCATGTTAACTAGGATGCCTTCGAGGCCAATTAGTAAATGGACTATTCTTGCTTGTCCTAAGTATCGATATTATAGGGAGGGAGCCTAAAACTAGTTATTTTTAGGGGAGTTTGATAGATTTAGAAAGTTGGTGTATATTCTAATGTGAATCGTCTCTCTTAGCTTCTCACTGATGTAAAGATAATTCTATTGACTGCCCTAGCTGTTTTGGATCAGTGAATAGAGCGTCGACCTGCGGGCTGAACGGTCGCAGGTTCAATTCCAGTTAAGGGCACATTAGGCTCAATTCCTAGTAGGGGGTGTGCAGGATTCTCTCTCACCATTGGTGTTTCTCTCTCTCCCTCTCCTTTACTCTCTGAATCAATAAAAATACATATATTTTTAAAAATATATTCTATTGACTTCTTAAAGTGCTCGAGTTTATAGTATTTATTGAAAATTCTATTGTAATTAGTAGGTGTGACTTTCCTTTTAATGTCTTCAATTTTTGTGTAGGCCATATGCGATATGTGGCTGTATTTAGTGCGCTGTGTACACACTGTATATTTTAATCATTTGAAGACAATCGCACCCTTATATTTTTGAAAAGAGTGTTATATCTGCTTTCTCAAAGCTTGAAATAATGAATAGAAGATCTGTCCTGTCCGTAGCGCAGTGTTATTCTTCCATATGCCAGGTGGCCGGCAGCACGACCTGTAGCTTTGGTGTACTTGACAAGTCGGCTTTTGCTCCTGGTTGGGCCTGAGGGCCACCATCTGTTGTTAGTTGGCCAGAGCAATGCTCTGCAGTTGGGTAGTGGGCTGTCTGGAGGGCCTTCTCATAGCGTTTCAGACTTAATTAGTTTTCACTAGAGTTCTACTTAGCTGTGTATGTAACCATCATTTTCTCTCCACAGAGAATCTGCAACTGTGCTTAGGGGAATTTCTACCCAGGCTTCTGGATCCTTCTGCAGAAATCATTGTATTGAAGGAGCCTCCAACTATTCGACCCAATTCTCCCTATGACCTTTGCAGCCGGTTTGCAGCCGTCATGGAGTCAATTCAGGGGGTTTCAGCTGTGACCGTGAAGTAAGCGGTCACATGTTCAGGGCCTGCCCTGGTCTTTGGTTGCCTGCCTATTGAACAGAGTCTGTTACCCGGTGTTTACCTTGGGAGAGGAATTAGGTGAAAAGGGAGATTCAGATCCAGACCCCAACCATGCTGTATGTGTAACAAAGGATTGAAAATAAAATTGCACTTTTCAGGAACAGAATCACTAGCCCGGTTTTCCTGAAAGAGGCAGGAGCAGTGCACTGGGATGTTGAATTGTGTGGGAGACCCGAGGTGGCCTGTTCTACCCACGGGAATGCTTGGGCTTTTCTCAGCCTCTGCCACTTTTTAATGATCCTTCAGCCACAAATATTTTTGACAGCAGAATAGAAGGGTGAGTCATCAGAACCTGAACCAGATGAACAGCTCCTAGTTATTACAAATGACATTTGAAAATTCTTAACTGCCGGAGATAAGAAATATAAACCTTGCCTGGCTCTTGGCAGGATGGCAAGTCGGGTTACTGATAAACCCCCACCCTTTAACGTGTGGGTAGAATACAAGGTCATGTGGCTGGATGATGTGGAAAAATCAGAAGAAAGCTGCTTCTCCTTTCTTCTCTCTCTCATTTATATTTTTAATGAAACCAGACAACCTCCTGAGTGAAAGAAAGAAAAGCATTACGGATTTCAGATGCAATAGCATTGAGAAACCTGACTAACGGTGGTGGGTTTGGGTGGTTTTCTTTTTTAAATGGGAAGGTGGGTTTATGTAAACTCTCGGGTGGTTCCTACTGTTGACCCTGTTCCTTTTGGCGAGGGAACCTTTATTTTACTTTTTTAATTTAAGTATAGTTGGGATACGATATTATATTAGTTTCAGGTGTACAGTACAGGGATTCGACATTTATATACCCACGATGTGATCACTGTACTGAGTCTAGTAATCATCTCTCATCATGGAAACTTACCAAATATTATTGGCTACATTTCCCTTTACCTGTTTCACTCATCCCTCCCACTATCACCATCCCCAACAAAACAAAATGTGCACAGGCCCATAGAAACAGATCAAACTGATGGTTAAAGATGGCGTCTTGATCATTGTTAACCATTGAATTTCCTAGGGCGTGGAAATGTCAGAAACATGTCTAAGACTGCTGCTGATCCAAAAGAACATTTGATGCCCTCTCCCTTTTTGTTTTGAAAAACTAAAGGACGTGGGTTTGTAAAATAAAGAAATCTATATGTATATGTAGAGAGAGAAATATCTCCTGTTGACCATTTTTAAAAGGCTCCAGCTTGGATATTGTGTTTTAACAGAATTTTCAGATTGAAGGAATTGTGGGAGGGAAGAACACTTGAAACCACTATGCAGATTTTATAAATGTGCAATAAAAGAAATTGTTTTACCTTTGTGTGCAGCAGGCCTTTATTTAAATATATGACTTCTATTTTGGAAATGGATGGATTTGGTAAGCATTTGTCATGTGTCAGTTTTTCTTTTTAAAAGGGCTGAGAAGCTTAATGGGGATAAAATAAGAGCAGGCAACAGGCCTTGAGCAGCACCTAGTGGTGCCAGATAATTTTTCATCTCATTTACTAGTATTGCATGTAAGTGATCCACTCTGTGTTTATCAAACTTAGAAGGCAAAAAAAAAAAAAAAAAAAAAAAAAAGCTTTTAACTGAATTTTGTATGTTTTTATTAAATTTATAGATATTCAGAGGTATCTGCATTTTAAAGTTACTGCAAAGATTTGTGTCATGGGAAATCAATTATCTTACCTATTGATTACCTTTTACTGCTTAAAATTATAAACCATTTGCCTTCACTTTTAAATCCTTGTCATTATTGGATACTGTGCACAGTTGTATTATTCCACTTCATATAATAACCTAGGACGATGATGGGTCAGATTCATAAGCTGTGGAGCCAGGACACTAACCCTCACGTCACAGCCTGTGCTTTATTTATTTATTATTATTTTTTTATATATTTTATTAATTTTTTTTGCCCCCTCCCTCCCTTCCATACATACCCTCCCTCCCCAGAGTTTTATGTCCATTGGTTGTCCTTATATGCATGTATAAAAGTCCTTCGGTTGATCTATTATCTCCCCCAGATCTCCCTCTCCTTCCCACTGTAATTTGACAGTCTGCTTGTTGCTTTACTGTCTCTATATCTATCTTTTGGTTCATCAGTTTATAATGTTCTTTATTATCCATAAATGAGTGAGGTCATGTGGTGTTTCTCTTTCATTGACTGGCTTATTTCACTCAGCATGATGTTCTCCAATTCCATCCAGGTTGCTGCAAATGATGAGAATTCCTTTTTTATGGCAGCATAGTATTCCATTGTGTAGATGTACCATAGTTTTTGGATCCAATCATCTGATGACGGGCACCTAGGCTGACAGGCACCTCGGCTGTTTCCAAATTCTGGCTATTGTAGATTGTGCTGCTATGAACATAGGGGTGCATATATCCTTTCTGATTGGTGTTTCTAGTTTCTTGGGATATATTCCTAGGAGTGGGATTACTGGGTCAAATGGGAGTTCCATTTTCAATTTTTTGAGGAAACTCCACACTGTTCTCCACAGTGGTTGCATCAGTCTGCATTCCCACCAGCAGTGCAAGAAGGTTCCTTTTTCTCTGCAACCTCGCCAACACTTGTCGTTTGGTGATTTGTTGATGTTGGCCATTCTGACAGGTGTGAGATGGTACCGCATTGTTGTTTTGATTTGCATCTCTCAGACAATTAGTGACTTTGAGCATGTTTTCATGTGCCTTTTGGCCTTCCTTCTGTCTTCTTTTGAAAATATTCTATTTAGGTCCATTGCCCATCTTTTAATTGGATAATTCATCTTCCTTTTATTTAGTTGTATAAGCTGTCTGTAAATGTTAGAGATTAAGCCTTTTTCAGTGGTATTATTTGCAAATATGTTCTCCCACACCGTGGGCTTTCTTGTTGTTTTGTTGATGGTTTCTTTTGCTGTAAAAAAGCTTTTTATTTTGATGTAGTCCCATTTGTTTATTTTCTCTTTAGTTTCCATTGCCCTAGGGGCAGTATCAATGAAGAAGTTCTTTTCACATACGACTGAGATTTTGCTGCCTGTGGATGCTTCTAGTATTTTTATGGTTTCCCGTCTGATGTTTAAGTCCTGTATCCATTTTGAGTTTATTTCTGTGTATGGTGTAAGTTGGTGATCTAGTTTCATTCTTTTGCATGTGTCTGTCCAATTTTCCCAACACCTTTTATTGAAGAAACTGTCTTGACTCCATTGTATATTCGTGCCTCCTTTGTCAAATGTTAATTGAGCATAGTGATTTGGGTTGATATCTGGGTTCTCAATTCTATTCCATTGATCTATATGTCTTGTTCTTGTGCCAGTACCAGGCTGTTTTGAGAACAGTGGCTTTGTAATACAGCTTGAAGTCTGGTATTGAGATCCCTCCTACTTTACTCTTCTTTCTCAGGATTGCTGTGGCTATTCGGGGTCTTTTATTGTTTCAAATGAACTTTTGGAGAGTTCTTTCTAGGTCAGTGAAATATGCCGTTGGTATTTTAATGGGGAGTGCATTGAACCTATAGATTGCTTTAGGAAGTATGGACATTTTGATGATGTTGATTCTATCAATCCATGAACATGGTATGTTCTTCCATCTCTTTACATCTTCCTCTATCTCTTTTTTCAGTGTCATGTAGTTTTCCGCATATAGGTCCTTTACCTCCTTAGTTAAATTTATTCCTAGATATCTTAATTTTTTTGGTGCAATGGTAAATGGAATTGCTTTTTTAATCTCTGTTTCTGTAGTTTCACTGTTGTGTATAGAAATGCCATGGATTTCTTGGCGTTAATTTTGTATCCTGCTACATTGCCAAATTCATTTATTAAGTCAATTAGTTTTTTAATGGAGTCTTGGGTTTTTTATGTACAATATCATGTCATCTGCAAATAAGGATAACTTTACTTCTTCTTTTCCAATTTGGATGCCTTTTATTTCCTCTTCTTGTCTAATTGCAATTCCTGTTTGACATAGTACTGGAAGTACCAACCATTGCAATTAGACACAGCCTGTGCTTTAAACAACTGCTCAGCTGGGTAGTCTTGTAAAACCTTTTGCTTTGTACCTTTCCACGTTTGTTATTTCCTGGCCAGGGACTGGGAATCTACAGGTGGCCAAGGAAGGAATAGATGGGTGCCTTTAGTGTGCAGTGTTAAGTAGTTTGCTTTCTTGGGAGTGCTGAGAAGGAATTTCTTTTTCCTCACATTAGCTGGCTGTCTTCAGTCAGCCTGGTTTCTTAGAGTTCACAAACTGCCTCAAGCTAGGGATGACTTACGTGTTTAAAGGGTTGTATAAAAAGAATGAGGAGGGTGGGAGGAGGAGGAAGAAACCCTATGTGACCCTTAGCTAAAATGATTCAAGAGTTTGGGCATGGTACTTATTTGATCTCAGCATAAATTCCCTTAAGGCTGGGTTTAGACTTTTCCTAGTTAACTGGAATTGCAGTCCTGTTTGGAAATGTTAGCTCCTTAAGGAACTGAGGCGTACAAGCTCATAGGTGTGAAGTGGATTCATAGGACAATTTAAATAATGAATAAACTAGAGGCTAGTATTGAATGTGGCCCTGGAATGTAGCAGGGATAGGACAGAAGGGGAAATTAATTGTAGCTATATTTATTTATTTATTTTCACTGCTCGGTGGTGAAATTATAGGGAATACCTTATAATTTATTTCCTAATTTTGAGTCATTTCCAGTTTCTGGCTACTACTTATACTGCTACCAGAAACATTAAATGTATGTCTTTTCAATGCATACAGGAGTGCATTTCTGTTGGTATCTATAATAATAAAAGAAATATGCAAATTGTTCCTCTATGACACCCACAAGCCAATCAGGAGTGTGTATGCAAATTAACTCATCAAAGATGGTGGGTTAATTTGCATATGCAGACAAGCAGGGATGGGTGAGGCAGGCACCTGACATGAGGGAGAGGTTGGGCATATGGGGTGCTACAGGAGCAGTGCTCTGGCTATAG